CGGGCCCGGTGCCGGCTCCCTCCGGCCGGGCCGCTTCCCGCCGCGCCCGCGGTGTCGGGGATCAATCCCGCGTGTAAACAGAGCCTGAATATTTTATAACGGCGGAATTCGCGGCATTGCCTCTTGTTGTTATACAGCGAATCAATAAACGCTATACACATGCAACTCGGGCCCGTCCTGGGCAGCATAACAAAGGGGCTGCGGTTGCAAATGCAAAAGCGGCCGCTCTTTCTGCACCCGAGCCGGGCTCCTGCTTTGTGAATCTCTGCTTTATTTCGCAGCGACTTTCTTTTTACCGGCTCCTATTATCACTGTCAGGTTGTAATACCGCTCAGGCAGGAGTTTAACAAGAAATACCAATCAATCACTGTGACCCTTTCAAAGATAATAACCGGGTTAGCCAGCCCAAATCGGTAAAGTTCAGGGGATGCTTGTTTGTTTCTTATCTCTTTATAAGGAATTTGTTTCTAAGGTAATGATGCTTGCTGCTACTTTACCCTCAGTAGAAAACAAGCACATTTTTTTTTTAATCTAAATGAATTTTTGTTTACGTGCTGTAGTTTCAAAAATTGCCAAAAGTCCATTTTATGTAAGGGTGAGATAGGAAAGGATGTAGTTTCAGAGGTATGAAGATGCACCACAGTTTTGCTGTATTTCCGTATCTTGTGCAGTAAGTTACGGCTCTGCTAGATGCCGTGTTTGCTTTGAGCTCCCCTTGCTGTGCTCTGTGTGATGCGAGTTATTTTCCGCTGACATCTGGATGCTTAGGATGCGCGAAATGTTTATTTGGGCAGTGCGTATGCTGTTGCTTTCTGGCTGTGCTGCTTTTGGTGTTTATAGGCACCATTTGGAAGACTTTTACACTTCCAGTATGCAGATACTGCATCTGCACTTGAATGTCCCTGCTAATTTTTATGGTTTACAATTGTATTTTACCATGCTAAGATGATTTTTTTTTTCTCTTTGAAAGGATTTATTCAAACAAGAGATTTCTTTTAAGAAAATATTTAGATACAAGGACTACTGATGAGATGTTTCTATAACACCTTCAAATGCAAATGTTTAATTATGTCTCTTTGTGAGGCTTCTAGAAGCCTCTTTTTTTTCTTCCCCCCCTCCTCCTTAATCAGATACACAATTAGATGCAGGATAGTTTTCCCCCTTAATATTATGCTCTCTAACATTCTAACTTAATTTAATTTGGAAAGTGTCTGTTGCTCCTGTGTCCTTAATGATTTAACTGTATTAACACTTGGCCCGCATTAGTCCCCCCCGAAGTGTGCATACTTTGACTTTTTAATCTCTTTTTGATTTGCTGGCTTACTTTTAAAAATCGGCCGCCTGTCTCGCGTGGCTGTTCCACGTGAGAGACGTTGTACCTGGGGCTGCGGTCGGTTCTGAATGGGTGATGTAACAACCCTTTCCTGCTTTGCCTCCCCAAATGTGAAATGCTGACATGCTATTGAGACATTGCTTGACCTTCAGCCTCTGCAAAGCCCCGGCAGCCGGGGGAGGAGTGGAGAGCCGCCTGCATCGGGCGGCACCGCCGCAGCTTAGGAAATACCTGCGAGCGGCCGTGGCAAACTCAGGCTCTTAGCGCTCCCGCCCCTTGAGGAAGGTTCGTAAAATTCTGATGCCTTGAGGACAAGGAAAATCAAATCATATGTCGTGTATGTGGTGAGTAGGATTGCATTGTCGGCTGCTGTGTTAAAGTCATTAATGAACTCAAGCTTTGCATGTGGCTGCTGGGTTAACCCCTAGTAAACGGTGGGACAAGTTTCCTGGCACCTTTAGTGAAGGAAACCTCCGGATAATTCTGATAGGCAGTTACGTGATTTTATTTCACCATTCACAGCTTCCCTCTTTTTGAGGGTTAATCTGACACGTTGGGTAATAGTTTCCCTTTACCACCTAGAGCACGTAGCCTCTGCCACGTAAGGAGCATATTTTATGCTCAATCAAATGGAACATGAGGAAAATGAGCTCTTTTTTACCTTTCCTGGTAAATGACAGGGTATGCGCTCCTCTGAACACCAGCAGTAAGTTGGTGCTGCTGCCACATAGTGCTTCTCAAATAATTATTTAGACAAGTTGTTTTAAATCATTATGTTAGGGCATTCATTTTCCCTGCACTCCAAGCAATTATTTCTCAACAGGTCCCATTTAAGACTAAGTTATCTGTAATTTCAGCCAGCAATCTTTCCCTTCTGTGGGAAGAGGGGAGAAGGAAAACATAGTGGTTCTTGCATCCTTTTATTTAATTTCTTTCCTAAAATAAGGGTAAAACGGGTTATCTGGAGTGAAAATACTTTGGGACATGCTTTGTTATGTGTTCTCTGAAGGCAGATTTACATATTGGGAAACTGCGTTTAGGGGAATACCAAACTCAGACATAGGGTTCCAATCTGAACAGAGTCTGCAGCAGAGAGCAGGTTTGTGAGAGCAGAGAGATTGCAGAGTTTATAAAGAGAAACCCT